AATAGAGGCAAATTACATACAAATCTCTTTGCCGTCTGTATAAAGCGAATCGTGATGTAACACTAAAAACGAGGAATAAGAAAAGATTAGGGAAGAGCTGCAGAAATGGTGGAATAATTCATTCGCCAGGGATTTGATCTCGGTTTAGCATGGGTGGATTATTATCAGACAGTTCAATAGGAGGAATAAAACGGGAAATCTCAGTCGGTAGATCTTTTCGGAGAATAATTTCAAAGGATAAATTCTTCTCTAATTGGACCGAATATTATAACAGCCAATGAATAAATCTTGCGTCGGAATTTCTAAAACTGCTGAAAGTATCCTCAAAAAAGTACACCAGTGGTAGGCTATTTTTCAGCAGCCGTAACAAAACAAAGATGGTCACATCAAACCCCATGGTGAAAAGAAAAATCAGTGACCTAAAAAGCAAAAATATGGGCAGTCACAACCCTCATAAAACCCTATGGTGAAGGGAAAAATCTATGACGTCACAAGGCAAAAATAAGGGTTATCACAAACTTTGGCAAACGCCATGGTGAAGGAAAAATCAGTGACGTCACAAGGCAAAAAATAAGGGGAATCATAACCCTCATCAAACCCCATGGTAAAAAGAAAAATCAATGAGAAAACAAAGCAAAAAAAAAGGGTTACCACAAACCTCATCAAACCGTAAGGTAAATGTAAAAATCGGTGACGTCAAAAGGCAAAAATAATGGTAGTTACAACACTCATCAAACCACATAGTGAAGAGAAAAATCAGTGACGTCAAAAAGTAAAAAAATAAGCTTATTTCAACCTTCATGATACCCCCAGGCAAAAAAAAAAGTGATGTCACAAAGCAAAAAACAAAAAAAAACGGTTGGTCACAACCCTCTTAAATCCCACGGTGAAAGGAAAAATCAGTGACGTCACTAGGCAAAAAAGAAGGGTGTTTAAATTTTGTAACTTTTGTTTTTAACTTTTGACATCTTGTTGACTTTTATCAAACCGTTTGAAACAAAAAATCACATTTTTAGACAATAAACGTTAATGTTACACTGACGATAACTGAGCTTTGAAAAATTAAGTACAGTATTTAAAGCTCTTTACTAGGGTCCATATTCCTGTAAGCGCCTTATCAGTGTGTTTACAAAGACAAGAAAATCTTACTTATACTTTAGACAAGAACTTTGGAAATTCGTAAAAGTTTATGTTCTAACTGATTTTGAACTTTATTTGCTTAAGTTTATAAAAAAAAACACAAATAAATCTTATCGGATTTTTAATGCTCTTTCCTGGAGTATGATTAGTCTCAAGCTTCTTGCAGCAAAACAAAATATAGAAAGACAGCATTACATCCTCAGCATGGCAAACTCTTCGACAACGTTAAAATAATTTGCTCAAACAATCTGGCTTATCACAGAATGCACTAGACCATGAAAAGAAAAAAGATAAGGCAAAAGAAGAAAACTTGATGCTCTTCTATGGCAGATGGCTCAAAGATGGGAAATGGTACGGTTATAGGCATAATGTGGCTTGAGCACCACACTGCTAAGCATGTGAAACAAGTGCACGGCCTGAATACCCGAAAAAACTGGGAACTTCACACAGCCTGAAGCTACTCATAAAATGGATCCAATATGTTCACCTCTCGGGGATTATATTGTAGCAGAGAATCCGTTTTGTATCCGAGATTTCCTTTAAGTAACAAAAGATATAAAATTTAGTTAATTCAGAACGACAGAGCATTAATTGATATGCCAAGACAAAAAAAACACTTCGTGATAGAAATTAAGGTCGAAATTCTAAAAACCTTATACTCATGCCTTACCAATGTCAGACCCATGATCATATTGCAAGTTGCAAAAAATAGAATAAAGAAAACACAGCAACTACAAAGAGTCTAAAGAATATTATGCTTTAGGACAGCTATAAAAACACCCACAGCAGCAAAGGAACGTAAACTCGCGATTCTTAAAAAGAGGGCTAACTGTAAAAATAAAACAAAATAAGAAAACTCTGAGATCTTCTATGGTTTATGAATGGCTCAAAGATGTGAAATGGTACTCGTATGAGAATAAAGGGGTTTAATTATAAGTACCACAGCTCTCGTTGCCACCACAACCAACCGAACTGGTAGTCACAGAAAAATGTGTATATGATATAACTTACAAACACCTCAAGAGAATACAATAATAACTTCATATAGCCAAAAAAAAAACGCTCGCCAATCCTACGAGATCATACCCGAAAAAGCTAGAATCTACCAATAGCCTGACTCTAAGATGGGTCTCAAGTCACAGAGAAGACATACTAGCCAAAAACAAAACCTTGGTACGACATATAGGCCCAAATACCGTTTGTGGCATAACAAGGGCCACATTAATAAAGAGAGAAACTGGACTCTTGGGTCATTGTAAAACATCAGAAATACCCGGAATGTATGTGGCATATGACAAGCAAAACGACAACTTACAAAAACAACCCACTGGGAAAAAGGGGAACCCACCCCACATAAAGAAATGAAATACCCTTATAGGTCTGTCAAATACAATTGAGACTACGGACTACAGTGACGTTTTACTCCCATTTGAAACGTAGAAATAACCTTCTGAAATATTGACGACTGTTCAGGGAACTGTATATTTAAGGACATTTTCTTCGTTCTCCTTCATCCTGGTACGCCCGTTCTCGCCATGTTCATTGATTGTCAGTGCTGCGTATCTTGCATTTATTTTTTCAGGTTATTCGTTACTATTGATTAAGTAAGCATAGTTTAGCATATTACAATTTAATATCGTGTTGTAGAATTCAGTGACCTTTTTGGTGCTTGCTGCTTAAATGAAACAGTTCCAATCAATGAAAGGGCAACCGGTCGAATTTAAAACGAAATTTCCGATTTGGATAGAGGATATCCCTTTTAAATTAACTCATCTTCTTTAAAAAAAACATTAGTATTATTACGGCTGGACAAGTATGAAAAGGATAAAATAGTACGTTTAACGCACATTATGGAAATATCAGGTGAGACCACCTTTTTTCTTCCTTCTAAATGTGCGACATGACCCCTGCTCGTGACTCGTTTTAATTAAGTCAATTAAATTTTATTGGAATTACAATCGTAGTCATTAAACATCTTGTTAGGAGGGTTTTATTTCTTTTTTCTTTGTCCATTTTGTAATTTTTGACCCAGCTGAAACACCTAGTGACTTTAATTGCAGTTAAATTACAGTGAATTACTTTTCACAAATTAAATTTTGTAATTTAAATTTGCATTTAAACCTAAAGCAATCGATTAAAGGATTTCACAAAAATTTAAACGACTTTCTTTATCATCGTCTTTCGGTGCTTGAAGAATGTGTCGTATCTAATAAATTTTTTATAGCCAATTATGCTAATGATATCACGTTTTGTGGTAATAAAAATCACTGTCTAAACGGTTAATAGTTGGATTTTTAATAAAAATCCTGGATCAATTGCCAACATTTATGAATTAAGTTTTCTACTTAGAAGAGTTTTCACCATTAAATCATCCAAAAAGGTTTCAGAGTTGTTGACTCAATTTCTTACGCTCTGGAGAACAAAGAGTATAGTTGGATAAGGCCGAGGCTTTTGATAGTGATTGGCACTCAGGCATCTTCCATTAAGCTATATTCTACCCACTGATGACTTCAGATTGAGGAGAGCAAAGAGTAGCGAGATATCAGGACAGTACGGCGTCCCACAAGAAAGCAATCTTAGTCATACTCTGTATATCATTTATACTGACTTGCCTGTACATCCCAACACTCATAGTTCGTATCCAGATGATGCAGTCAATTTGTCTTCTAATCGAATTCAACAACTAAGTGAACACGAAAAAGTCGCCATACTATTGTGATCGCTTTAACGTTAGCACAAGCGTCCAGTAAAGTCTTTTGTGCAATGTCCATCATTGTCCTAAACTCTTCGTTAAGTTTAAGGCCTTTTACCTGATCCCAAAGTTTTGTTAAGGACCCGTGTCCTTCAAACCGTAGTTTTTCCGCTTCCAGCAGAAATCTCAGTCTGCATATGACATGGTACTCTGTTTCTTCTTCTTGCGCACGCTTGTTTCGAGTACATATACCTCCGAAGTCTGCAGGATGCAATCAGCAGTCCTATCATTCTAATCCTAACACGTCCTAATAGTCCTGCGATCTTTTATGAACTTTTTGTTAGAATACATATTGAAAATAATACTTATTTTTAAAACATTTTCTGATTGAGCTACGTTTTTTGCAATTTGGTATGACGCAAAAGGGTTCAGGGTCGATAGGTGACCTCGTCGACCTGTACTAGTACTTGACCAAGTGGTTAGGACGTCCGACTTATAATTCCACTCTATTGGTTCTGGGTTTGAATCCCCGCACAGCCCATGGAATGTACACCTTATGTGCCGCGGGGGGCCGCGGTGGTAGCCGAGTGGTTAAAGCGTCAGACTCTCGGCTAGAAGATCCCGCTGTCGTGGGTTCGATCCCCACCGTCGCCTTTGGACTTTTCTGACGGCTAAGGGGACCGGTGGCCGCAATTAAAAGAAATTGACACGGCAGTCATCAATGGAAGGGGCGGGATCAGATATCAGCGACCCTGAATTTGGTCCCAACCCCCTTCAAAAATGTGTTTTTTCGATGGAAGAACACCGGGTAACAACGGGGGCTCAAGTTCACATTTGTGTTGCGAGCCCCCCCCCCCAAAAAAAATATGGAGCCAGGGATAAAGTACAATAAGCTGTACAGCTCAGCTGCAGTGCTCAGGAGGGAACTCGTCCAGTCTCTGGTATCCATTAAAAAAAAAAAAAAATGTGCACCTAGTTGGACGTAAAGACATTTTTATTACTTTTTCCCATAATGTATTAATATATCAATGAAGAATCGAGTAAAAATTTTCTCAGGATCGTCCTATGAAATCAACAAAAATAAAGGTCAACCACCAACAACCATCATCGCTAAATAAATTGGTTAAGGGGAATTGATAAGACCGGTCGAAATTGTGGTAATATTTACCGAATGTCATTTGCTGGAAGAAACCCCAGGAGATGCCGTCCTTAGTACTCGCAAAATACCTAAACAAAGTCGTGTTTGTTGCCATCATCACAGATCGCTCAAACAAACAGCACACACCTACAACAATAATAACAACAAAATATTCTATTCTGCATTGGGCTTTTTTAAAATAACAGGGTAAATAGGTGGATGAAAATGATGAAAAATGAACTAATTGACCGATTGTTAAAGAACTGTTGGGAAATTACAAGTTTCCAATCGATCTTTTTTCACATTTGGTATTCGTGTTAAAATGTTATATAAATGAGGGGAAAAATATTTTGCGGATAGATTTCACGTTTGAAATTGTGGTCATTATGGTGCAACGACTATGGAGAAACCCTTCACACTAGCTTCTTCACTTTCGTGAAGATCTGTCTACAATATTCTGTAGTGTGTCTACAGTCGATAACTGACTACGTATCAATAAAATAATATTCAATAATATTCAAACTGTACGACAGACTTTTATGCATATATAACCTTAAATTTGCACGCACACACATGCAGAAGTGTCCAGAGTTGAGCCTATCACTTCTCGTAGTCCGCAGGTAATTCCAGCTTTTATAATTGACAATGGATTACCGGCAGAACTCGAGAATCACCCACCTCTGCTGTTGGCAGTCCGGGGTCAGACCTCGGACTTGTCAATCCGGCCACGAGGTTGTGGCTACCAACAATTAGGTCGTCACCTTTTTACCTATTATATAACTAACCTAATTGAGGGTCGATGGGGTTCTTCCATAAGCCTCTCACACTTCACATTCACGCTAATAAATACATTCACTCTCGACACACACTAGGCACACAAAACTATCATTACTATATACAATAAACAGTCCTGTTTCCTCTAAAAATCGAAAAAGAGGACCCAGCCTTCATATTCTCATGTGGCATTCCTACACGCTCTCTATATAGAGCCAAGGAATGACACACCTCAATTAAATGGAATAATGCGAGCAACCTTTCTCACCATGCCGGGCACATGGTGGCATTTGATCTTTGTGCGTCAACCTCGCATGGCCTATTCTTAGTAGGGTGGTAGAGGGCTTAATATTAATTCGTCTCCATTTACACTATATAACTAATATAATTGGGTGTCAATGGGGTGATACTTCACCATTGGACCTCCCACCCTACACATTCACGCTAATAAATTCAATGTTAATTTACATAACAAGAAACAGAAAACGAGATATCTATCGAGTGCTATATATAATACAGCCCTGTTTCCTACAAAAATCCAAATAAGATCCCAACTACTCGCTGTCTTGCTCAAGCACAATTCACACGGACATTCCTACACGCTCTCTATATGGAGCCAAGGATTGTCACCCTTAAATTAAATAAGATACAATGAACGACATTTCTCGGTTTTGCCCAAAAGTGTCAACCTGGCAATGCCCTTAATAAAGAATCAGCTTTAAAGCTTTATTTTATGTAGGTGTTAAGTTGAATTTACAGCATACCGATTTCCCAGAATAAAACAAATAGCCGTAGGTCTCTCACTGGTTTATATTATCTGTAGGCTCTCGAAGCACAAACCCCGCAATCCTCCCGAGAGTCAATTAGAGGGTGGTGATATTTCAATTTCAGGGCTTAATTGCCCACATCTGGTCCATTACCCAATCCAAATGGAAGCCTTAATTTTACTTCTGTCAGAATTTGTCAGTTTGGAAAAACAAAACCAATTTAAAAAAAATAATAATTCGACAGTTCTGCCCTAGTTGGAATTATATTTATTGTTACTAGGCGTACTATTATTAACATCAACAAATAAGAATCTCCAAAGAGATTAAACTTCAATGGAAGGACAAGAACATCCTAATAGGAGAATATCCCATATTCATGGCTCCTAGAGGCGACATGGAAAAGAAAATTTGGATTTAAACAAAATTTCCAGACAAGCGAAAGGACCAAAAATGAGTGGGAAAAAGATTTGTGAGAAAAGTTGTTCCATTTAGTTGAAGGGTGTCATTCATTAGCTATATATAGAGAACGTGTAGGAATGCCACCTGATACGAGAATCGGCCTTAAGTAAGGCAGCAAGTATTTTGGTTTTTTCCGATTTTTTAAGGAAATAGGTTTTATTGACAAAGTATCTATATATTTTTTTTGTCCCCTTTTGTGTATACTAAGAGCGAATGTATTTATTAGCGTGAAAGTGTAGTGTGAGAGTGCCGATGACGGAATATCACCCCATAGGTTGGTTAAAATGTGCAGTGTATGGGCAGAGTTGAGCTTACATCATCGGAGGAAGCACTTGTAATATGAAAAACCAGCCTACATCATCATATTCATCTAAGGAAAGTTAGATTAAAACCAGGGAGATGGAAGCAAATGCGATAAAATAAAGTATACTAAAACTCAGCTGTTATCATTTCCATCCACTAAGTACTTAAGTACTTACTTAATTTTTCTGAATATAATTTTGATATAAATATAAAGCATAAATAAAACGAACAAAGAAATATGATGTTTCAAACGACATCTTTGTGTCTTTTGTTGACTGGTTATTTGTCATAGATGGACAATGGTGTTGATTTATTGAAGAAACGATGTGACTTGAATGCGATGCCGTGGGACAACGATTACAATCACGAACAACGGTTTTTTTATTGTTATCTTTTAAACTATGTCAATTCAGATCAATCATTATTTATGCTGGAGTATCGTTGGAAGGCTTTTCACCGAAAGTATAAAAGTTCTGATACAACACTTTATCTGCTCTTGAATTTTGTAGTAATAGTCAAAGTTACATTAGTTACTCGCTATGACCGCCTTAATCCTTTATGGCCTAATATTGTCTTAAAGCAAGACGAAATTTAGCAAGTTTGTTAAAATGTTAACAGAAATCCCATGAGTTTAGTGACAGAGATTTTAAATTGGAGCCAAATAAATCAGTGTTGCCAACACACGGGCAGGAACAGCAAGGACAACACTGCGCCCACCCTTAACTCACTGAATTGCCTGATAACCTTAAGCAAAATTGCCAAAGTTGGCATTGCTCTGAAGTAACTTTTGGCAAGAAATGGTTAAAGTATAAACTAGATATGAAAAATTTTATCTTTAACTATTATAACAATCGATTGAAGAGGCTGTGGTGGGGTGAAGAGATAGAAGGTTTCTAGATGGAAATTTTAGCTAGGCGCCAAAAAAAGTCAGTGTTGCCAATTCAAGTGCCCACAAAAACACTAAACTCATGGATTATCTGAGCTTAAGCAAATTTGGTAAATTTGGTGTTCCCTCGAGGCAACGTTCGGCAAAAAAGGGTAAATGAACGTTGGATCTCAAATCTTAAAAGGCATCCTTTCGCTCATTAAACATTCTCTAAAGGGCCAAAGTTTTGGATCGATCGTTCCATTTGGAGACGATTAACCGAACTCGGATTTCCGATTAAAATACACAAACGGTTCAATCGTGTGAAATTTAAGCGAGAACACGGCCAAACTTATTGCGCCTTTTTATAAATTGAACGTAAAATAAAGCTTGATTTAAAAATAATTGAGTGTACTAAAATAAATGCATTTCTAACCTGTGACTGGCTGCGGTGGTTGCCTGACGACCTCCTGCCTCGGACCCGTGTATTCATGCCATCGGTATGTACTTCGATATTCAGAATGCAGCTGCAAAAGACAAAAATTTAATTAATTAAATATACATCGACCAGTCGAATTTCATTCCTAAGTTATAAATAGATTTTTATAATGACAAGCCAAGAAAATCATCTACTAGGTTGTTATCAACCGCCTATTTCAGCCTAGGTACATATTACTAGGTACGTAAATCATTATTTCCTACATGAAGATTATCAACTTATAGTGCTCACACTAGTTTTATCAAAAACTAGAACTGAAAAAATTGTATTTTTTAGCATAAGCTCTTCTTTCAACCTTCACAACAGTGGTTTTTAATTACTCAAGACGTTTTGCGGCTTTAAGACACTGCGGCCAATATAGGTATATTGTGCAAACTCTATTAATTTCTAAAGCTCAAGCTTAAGGATTTTTATCAGATCCCAAAGATTTGTTAAGACTTACTGGTCTTTTAAGCCTTGGCTTCTCAGGTTGATGCTTGCTATGATATAAGAGCAAAAATGGCGTATCATCAGGTGGTAAGGATTGTTTGAGAAAGAAGAGATATGTCTGAGGTGTTTTGTGTAGAGTATGGGTCCTAAGATATCAGGATACTTCCTTGACGCACCCCTGCATCTGTGCAATAACTGATAGAGCACAGTCACCGATGCTTTCAAAGTTTCTGCCAGTTAATTAGTCCAGTCAGGTAGTAGGCAAACGGAAGGACTCTCTCAAGATGGTCAGGGCTGGTTATAGCCGTGGTAGCGGACTAGCTGGTGGGATATGGATATTAATGTAGTAGATTGGAGTAGTTGTTATTCTTCGAACGGTAAATGTGACATTTCACATTTTTCACGTTTATTGTCATTTTTCATGGCTTTAACCACGGCTCAAGGGAGTTGACATGGTTCTGAGGTTGATGGTTGATAAGACAGGGTCTTTATAAGAGCAAAAAATCAGGTGGTAAGGATAGTTTGAGAACTAGAGAGCCACAACCGGTATTACCTCACTCTATGAGCACAGCGAAAGAGAGTATCAATAACTGCGGCATGAAACAATTCCTTAGGTAGTTGATTTTAACCCCCCGGGCACAGGCAATCGAAAGAGTTTGTTAAGGCGATCAAACCAGCAGAATCGAAATGGCTATTCTCTATCTCAAGGAAGGGAATTAAGAGGCTGATAGGTATTCTGACGGGCCACTGCCCACTGAAAAGACACCTCTTCGTAATGGGTATCCTACCATATCCCTTTCGCCGCTTCTGCGAAATAAAAGAAGAAACGGCAAGGCACTACCTCGCAGAGTGTGATAGGTATGCTGGGTCTAGATTTGAAATCTTTGAAGGAGAGGACATCACTAAATCACTCCGTGAGATAAAAATGGTCCAAAATCTTGGGGTTTGTGAACAAGTCCTAGAGGTTTATGCAGGACACGTGAGCCGACCAAGTCCTGGACCTTTTAGGGATGGGGTTCGAGTCTACCCAGGCATTTAACCCCTCGGGTCTTGGTCGCCCACCCTGCATCTGAATCTGAGGTGTTTTGTGGTCTTAAGATGCTTAAGATCAGATGTCTCAAGATAACCTCTCTGGGATACCCTGCATCTGGGCAATAACTAGAGCAGAGGCACTGTGGCTTGAAACTATTTGTCGATTAAGTAAGTAGTTAGGATCAGCTAGTAGGCCTGATAAGACTCTTACCGGAGCAGAACTGCTTTTGCTGAGGAGAATTCAATTTAGAATTTGCTTTAAAGTTCCACTGCATAAGGAAAAAACGTGTTCCCGAAAATTTTGAAAGATAATAAATTTTAACGTACTAATTTTAACGTTAAAAGGGGAACGAACAATCCATGAACAGTCCATCATGAAAGGAACTGTGAGCACAGATGACAAATGAGTACTGTTATGATATTTCTTACGTTCTAACTTATAATATATGTTGATATGCATGTTGACTTGTTTTGGTCTCCTAAATTTTGGTCGGTCAAATTTATCGTATAATTTTTATTACTTAAGTGCTCTTTTCAGTAGGACTGTTATCAATCAAAATGTGTAAAGATTTATGGTTCGTGTGGTTTACGATAACTTTACATTTTCCTAATGTTCATTTCGAATGCAACGCGGCTGTTTCCCAGTTAATAGGATCAATCCCTTCGCAATAACGTTTTCTAACTGTGCAGTTTCAATTTACAACGAGGATTCCTTTTCATCCATTTGTCGACCATTCTTCAATCTTCGATCTGTGCTGAAGTCTTGATTAGATCGGTTTACCTGAATAAAATTTCACTCGGCAGACACGTGACCGGGGTCAACGGTCCAAGCGGTTCAATTTTACCGAAACGTCGGTTCGCGTGTTTTGCCAAACTTATCACGGCTGTAATAACACGAGTGAGATTTTTCGCAATGACAAACGGTCATGGGCCAAGTCAGACGAACAAAAAGCTTCTCTCCTCACTTAACACATTTCCAAAATTTTCCGCTCTCATCTTGGTATAATAGAGCCTAATCATATAGAAACCATTGAGAAGGAACTAGTCCAAACCACTACCTCTTTCCCTTCCACCAAAAGAGGACTCTTATCCTTCAGAAATCCAGTACATCATCGATCCCAAAAAGAAAGCTCCTGGATATGACCTTATAATCCCTGAATTATTCGTTCTTCCCTAAAAAAAGCAATCCTCCTTCTAACATACATATATAATGATGTCCTAAGAACTACTTATTTTCATTTTTAATGAAAGTTTTCCGTTGTAAAAATGATCCAAAATCGCATAAAACTACACTAGGAAAAATCCTCGAAAAGCTCCTTACTAGAAGAAGAAACTAGGCAATGAAAAGAAATAACTACTAAAAAAATAAAGGATGCATCCAAAATCTCCAAAACTCGGGCAAGCATAACGACCTGACAGGATCTGGGGCGCCAGAGCACAAAGAGTAATAAAAAATCAGACAAACTAGCGGAAAGGGATCTGCAAGACGATACAATTAAAGGCCCAGAACCTATACCTTGATGACATGATCAAACGAAGACTCATCCCTCTCAGAATGACACCCGCAAAAAAAGGAAAAATGGACCTACTCTGCCAATGAAGAAGTACCAGACATAGTAAATTCATGATAAAAAATACTTAAAAGACACCTAAAAACATGGTTATATTCAATTATGGCCCCATTCATAGGTTACGCAATGACAAGAAAAAACTGCCACTTACATTATCTTCGAATGGGAACGGCTCAATGGCGACATAACCTAGAATATCTTGCCGCTCAGTCAACGACCTAATACTTTTAAAAAAAGGGGTCAATTGAACAGAACTAAGGAACTAGGAAAAGTACATTAAGCCAGAAGGCTACAGTATTCTTGTTGTAGAAAACAATTGCTTCCTATCATTCCTAATGAGTTGGACTTAGAATATACCTGATTTTGATCCTTCGTTTGTTTTGCGGCCATTTGTACACCATATTGTTTCTTTAAGTCCTGTTATATTTTGTTCCTTTGATTCTCTAGGCAGGTTTAGAAGCACAAATTATCTTTTTTAACACGGTTTTACTGACGTACATAAAAAAAGATTTAAATTTTTTCTATTAACGCGAGCCACCTTTTTAACGTATTCTATAATAATAAATATTAGAATTTTTAAATTATATATAATAAATATTTATTGAAATAAAAATACAAAGAACTTAGCGCTCTTCGTGTGGGATAAACCGATCAATCAATTTGTCCAACGCCCATCGGTTGATTTCAAATTTAAATTCCATCAATCACAGTTCAATCAATCAGTTATTCGCATGTTTGAAAACATCATTGATGCGAATGAACATCTGTCACCTAAAAACAAATTCGACTGTGCAGAACTTCACACAGCTGAAAATACACTGCCCCTCAAAAAAACGACCACCTGGACTTTGCACGAAAAAAGGCCAACTTTGGAAATGCAGATTTTCTTAACTTTTTAAGTCACAGGCCTGCGCTGGGTCTCATTTTTTAGAAAATTTTATGCTGAACAAGATGGTTTTTAAAATGTTTTCCATGCTTCAGTCATTCATCAGTAAATTCAAAAATTCGGTAACATGTTAATTTTTGCACGTTTTACGAAAATCTCAAATTGAGCTAGGGAGCTAGGAAATCTCCCTGGAGCGGCGGCATATAGCAGTCGATAGGAAATTATAATAAGCTTTCAATTGATCACCTTCTATTTTGCCCGATTTCTCAACCGTTTTCGAGTTATACGCGATTTTTGGGCAAAAAACGTGCTCATGGAAAAAACCACTCTTTACCGATTTTACCATACATAAACATATTGTTTCAATACGTTAGACGAAGCCAAACTACCACAAGGCTTGTGAAATGGGAAGGAAAAGTTGAATTCCCATGATGAGGTAAACAACTGGTAATCGGCAGCAGAAGCATTCCGCCCCCCTAAATGTCAAGGTAAGAATAGGCGCGTTCCAGTTCGCTTTTCTGAAAAAGTCCTCGGAACAAAATTTGTAGTGTCAAATTTACGAAAACATAACGGTTCAAAATTTAAGCATTCTTGAAAATCGGGAATCTGAATGAACAATGAAGAATTTGAATTTTTTTTCTTTTCTTATGCTTTCTCTACCTTCCTTTCACCCAACTCTTCTGTGTGAGCGAACATAGACCTGATGTTTTAATCCTCATTCAGAAACTGGCCGAGTGTTAAGCAACAAAAATAAAAGAACTTTTTTGTTCATACAATTAGGAGTGATGTGAGGTTGTCCACAATGTTTTTGCATCACTACTTTGATAGGCTGACTATTTTACTTTTTTGGAAGGGAGTCTGGAACTTTTATCTTTCCTTTTGAGTCCTCTCAGGTTACGGACTAAAAACTGACTTGGCCACAGTGTAAATATCAGTACTTGCTGTAATTTTTTTTGGAGGGGGCGAGGAAGTTGGCCCTTTTTTCACCGTTAGGTTTTTGTTGGGATTGTAATGTCATTGTAGTACTGCCAATAAGTTGTTTCTCCACTCTTGTTTATAATTTCTTTCTTCTTATTGTTGTCTCTTTGTTCTCATTGAGTAAAAAGAGAA